ACCAGTAATAAAACACTCTTGTTCTCATGAACCTATTTACATTGGTGCATTGACAACTGTTGTGGGGGTGGGGGGAGGTGGGGGTGGAATGGGGTAGAGGAACCTTGGATGGATCCCAGGCAGAGGCACCCATACCCCAACGTGTAGCGACACCACTGTGAGTGTGGACCTCGGGGCAAGCTGGGCAGGCTGGGGGCTGGCCTGGGGGCGAGGGTGGGCACTGTCCAGCCCACTCAGCATGCTCCCCTTCCTCCTCCACTGGACTGGGGCCAGCACGGCCTGCATGCAGAGCAGGGCCTGCATGCAGCCAGGTCCTGCTCAGGGGCTGCATGAAGGCATGGCAAGTGGTGGGCAGTGGCCTAGGCAGGGAGCCAGGCTGTGAGGAGACCAGGCTCAGGAGCTGGGGCAGGAAGCCCTGGCTGGTGTAAGCAGTGCTGCACCTCCTCCCAAGGCCACTGGGAGGCTTGGCACTGGCTGTGGGTGGCTGCCAAGGGCCAGAAGGAGCTGGGACTGGGGCTGGGGGCTGGGCATCAGGCAGCACAAAGGTGACCACCAGGGCCAGGATGATATCAAGAACCCAGCAGTCCTCTTCTGTCGCTGCTACCACCCAAGCCACCATGGTACCCTGCCAGTTGTGGGCCTCAAACAACCACTCCAGGAGGGTTATGTACCTCTCTTCGAGGGTATGATACCTGTTCCACTCCCTCTTCAGGTCCTGGGTTTACCAGGCCCAAGAGTCCATGAGCCACTCCTCCACCACAGTGACCAGCTGGTCCAGCAGCATGGTGCAGTCGTAGGTCCAGCAGTGGCAGGACATACGGAGGGCATTGGCCGATGATGGCAGCATCTTTGCAGCCTCATCTCTGCTGGTGGCTGGTGGTTCTTCCCTGCGTGCAGCTGCTGGACCTGCAGAGCAAAGATAGAGCAGCTCTTTGTGAGAGCTGACAACATTTCAGATGGAACATGCACTGTACTGAGGGGCTGTGAACCACCTGGCCTCAGTTCAGGGGCTGTGCCTGATAAGGTGAGCTGTGTCTGCTAAATTGGCCAGACAGGCCCTTGCACAGGTGGCCGCTGGTCAAACTCTCCATCCCTGCTCCCACAGGAGAGACCACTTGCAACTTGCTGCAGGCAGTCTGCCTTTACTGTCTCCTAACTAGGCCAGGCCAGGGTTGGCTCCTGCTGGCAGCTGCTATGGCAGCTCCTGAAAAACCCTCCCTCCCACCTTCTCCTCCCTACAAGCCAGGCAGTTTGCTCCTATGCTGCTGGGCCCATGGCACCTGGGTGCTGGGGGTGAGGGGCTCCTGGTGACACCCCCAGCCCCCGTAGTGACCTTCTGTGGAGAGGTGCCTCAAGCTAGGGCCCCAGCCTCATGTGGACTGCTCCCCAAGCGTGCTTCTGCTGCGAGTCCCCTGCTCACGCTGTGATGATTGCCATGGTGCCCTAAGTGCAGCAGAGAACCTGGCATAGGGCCTTGAGCTTTGAGGGCACCGCAGGGAAGCCCGCGCTTCCTCACAATATGCGCCACCACCTAGAAGGTGGTGCTGTGCCCAGGGCCGTCCCTCAGGGAGGTGGGGGCGAATCGGGGCGACAGCCCCGAGCCCCACAGTCAGTGCCACATAGGCCCTGCCGCAGCCACCATGCACTGCTCCTGCTGAGTGCTGCCAGCTCTGCTGCTATTGAGTGCGGCCGGCTCTGGCCGCTTGCCACCCCCTGCTTCGCCAGCTCTGGCCACTTGCCACCCCCCTCCCCCCAGACCCTGCAGAGGCTGATCTGCCCCAGGCCCCACACACCCCTAGTGACGGTTCTGCCTTTGCCTATGCTTTGAGTGCCTGATACCCTCAGACAAGGAGGAGATCAACAAGTTTTTATGCATGTGACAGGCCCCTCAATGCCTAGCTGGGAGCCTGCAGGCCACTCAGTAAAGTCCTGAACTGCCTCCTGCCTCCCTGCTTGTTGGGGGAGGGGAGGTGGGTGGAAATCCAGTGGGCAGAGGGGGAGCTCAGTCCGCCAGGGAGGGGATGAGGAGAGGGCCCCTCACACTCCCATGTGGGGCCCCTGGCTCCAGGCATGCAGTGCAGGGGCGGGCGGGTGAGATGGCATAGGCACAGACGGCCTCAGCGCTCCCTTTGCCCCCCGGCCCTCCTCCCTGTGCAGGGCTTACAAGGTGGGCGTGACAAGAGCTCTCACCAGTCAGACTGGGTCCTGGGCTGTGGTGAAGTGGTTCATCTGCCTGCAGTGTCCAGCCAGCTTGGGACAGCCAACGAGATATGCCAGCCATCTGGCTCTGCACCAACCAGGAGGCTGGCCTCCTGCTGGTGTGGCTGACTGGGCACAGTTTACACCTGACATCAGCATCTATATGTGCACTATTGCACATTAACCAATGCATGCACAATTTTTTTAGTACCTGTATGTATTGGTACTAGCAAATGGGACATTAGACTAATTTAACGCACAGTAATTGCCATGCACATGTAAATGGTGACACTTTACTGTGCATTAGTCTAATGTGCAGTAAAGCTCTTCATGTAAATGCACCTACTGTATTATAAAGTGGCCCACTGGGAAGTTGGGAGGAGCTGGCTGTTGCGATTCAGAGTTGGCCTCCACCTTTTGTTCCTAAGTAGTGTATGTTGTCTATTCGTATTTATCATCAATCTCTTAGTACTCAGAAAACCTGGTGCAGAACAAAAATGTGAGGGCCTGTTTCTAATTCTAGGTTCTGGGTCTCCTTAGCATCCCTTACACACACACACACCTCTTGTGTAAAGCTTCCTTTGTGGAATATGAGAAGAGCTGGGATTTAAAACTCTACAAACTTCCCAAGTTCTTAACAAATGAAGGGAAATAAATGGCAAGGGGAGTAAACAATCCCCTCTATCTACTGTCAAGCACCAGAGACTTATTCACACATTTGTGGGTGGAAAAGTGCAAAAATAACAACTTGCACAGGGGATGGTCCTTACCTTTTGATTGGCCTGTTTCTGAACTCTCAAATACCTTAACCAGAAAATACAGTTTTGCTTTGTTCCCCTCTTATTATTATTCTGTTTTTATTTTTGTGCTTGTTTGGTTAACTCATTTAAAGGGAGAAAAAATTAAAGTGCTGGCAATTTGAAAACCCCAAGCTGGGTAAAGATTGATGCGTGTCTCCCGTATTTTCCTCTAGAGGGCTCTGCACTGCATTGACATTAAGGGCTTGGAGGCTCTTATGTCCTTAATTCTGAATGGGAATACCTGCAGGTGATGATACATAGTATTTTTGCTTTAGATTTACTTTCTTCATACATTTGATTTCAATAAACTCCTCCCTTCACAATTCTCTCTCTTTCATCCGCATCTCAATATCCAATTTAACAGCCACTCCTCTCCAATCAAATTCCTACTGGATTCCTCAGGGTGACCTTCACCTAGATGATGCACTGATATGACATTCTAGTTGCTCTGACCATCAACCTATTTCCATACACACATGACGATTAAAAATATCTTTGGGGTATGGTTAAGGGGATCACTGGTTTTCTTTGTAGCTCCTATATATGGTTTCTTTTTATAAGAAGCATTATAGTAACCACTTTACTTGATTTATGCATTTTATATTTTTAAGGGTCATCTAAAGAAACAAACAAGATGCATGAAAGTTCTTTCACTTTGACCTGGAGTTTTATAGGATACAACTTTGTTGCCTCTAATAATAAGATGCGAGCCCTATCTAGAGTACAATGTGGGAGGGAAGCAGAGCAAAACAAATTCAATGTGTACACACACTGGGATTTGATTATTACCTCTCCAAATGGATCAAATATTATGCTTTGCCTTGTTTTAATTTTTCATTTTAAATTATTATCCATAGATAAATCAGGGTTTTTTTTCCAGGTTGCTTAGGAGCATCCCATGGACTAATTCTCTCCTTATTCAATACAAGCTATCATCACAAGCAATTTATAGTTACTCCCATGGAACGAAAAGACAACACAGAGTTTGTTCACTCCGTCCCTGTTCAGTAGTTGAGTGATTGTATAGCCTGTTTTGGGAACTAGTTATTGGTTATGAGAGAGGATATTATTTGAATTAGTTGAAACTCCTCTTATCTTTTCAAAATTAAAGTATTTAGCGTTGCACAAAACATAATTAGATGCAGCAAGGTATAACTAAACAATGTTGTCAATACAAATTATTCTGAATACAAATACAATTTGTGCGTATTGTGATATTTAGATGGAAGAAAATATGTTGACGGGATTTTCATCATTAACTGGTGTCTTCCATATGTGTTAGAACTGTACTTCTTGTCCAATACTCCTATTCTGACTAGCAATGTGCTTTAATAATTCAACCTATAAAACAGCCCTGATCATGCTTACGCATGAGAATGAACACAGACTATAATTCAAGAAATCCATACATTATTATATAAAATAATCAGAAAAAAAATCGAGGAACATAGATAATTCACATTACAATGAAATGATTTCAAAACTTAAAAATGGCAACTCATGTTTCATTCCAACCCCCAAAACAATACAACACAATATACCAAATACTTTCATCTGAAACAAAAACATCTCTCCACAGGTTTTTAATCAGCTCCCTGTAGAGTTGCATAAGACATGATTTCAAAAGAATTTAGTATTTTAAGAGGTAAAAGACTACGTTATAGCATACAATTTACAGACTGTATTCAAAGCTCAGGAATGACTTTGTGTTACTTCCCTGTATTCAAAATCAATTTACACAGGCAAAATCTACTGAAATGACAATCTGTCTTCAACGACATAGACAAAAACCCTCTAAAAAACATGAATCGATTATAATTCTGATTTTATAGTCAATAGGAGAGTTATAATTTACAAGGAAAAAGAAAAGTTTCTCTTTTCTGAGGTCTCTCCAAACACAGAACTCGGGGATTATGGCCCCTTATTTAACAAACCTTTCGTCTCACGCAGAAGACACTTTACAGAGTGAAAATATAATGCTTACCCAACAGCATGCCAAAACTTGGGGTCATTTGGTGGCACATAACGTGCAAAAAATACACTTTTTAAACTCCGAAGAAACACAAACAGATCAGGGAGAAGAGCTCTCTCTGCCTTGCAGCTGGGCGGGCTCTTCAACGAACCAATCACAGAGCAGCTCTCGTGTATAAATACCATGCAGCCGCGCTTCCTAGACCAACAGCTTTTTTTCGCTGCAAGGGAACGTCTGAGACCATGTCTGAAACTGCGCCTGTTCCAGCCGCCGATGCAGCTCCGGCCACCGCGGCACCTGCTCCCGCCGCTAAAGCCCTAGCTAAGAAGCCGAAGAAGGTAGGAGGCTTTAAGGCGGGCGGCGCCAAAGCGAAGAAGCCCGCGGGCCCCAGCGTGACCGAGCTGATCACCCAGGCGGTAGCTGCTTCCAAGGAGAGAAAAGGCGTCTCACTGGCCGCCCTAAAGAAGGCGCTGGCAGCCGGCGGCTACGATGTGGAGAAGAACAACAGCCGCATTAAGCTGGGGCTCCGGAGCCTGGTGGACGAGGGGAATATGGGGCTGTA